CAGCGTGTGCCCAGGTGTGCCCAGGTGAGCTCTGGACACCCCCAGGTGAGCTCAGGTGAGCTCTGGACACCCCCAGGTGAGCTCAGGTGAGTTCTGTCCACCCCCAGGTGAGCCCAGGTGTGCCCTGGACATGCCCAGGTGAGCTCAGGTGTGCCCTGGACATGCCCAGGTACCTCCAGGTGAGCTCACGTGTTCCCAGGTAAGAACAGCGCGTGCCCAGGTGAGCCCAGGTGCAACCCAGGACATTCCCAGGTGAGCTCTGTACACGCCCAGGTGAGCCCAGGTGAGCTGTGCACACCCCCAGGTATTCCCAGGTGAGCTCTGTCCGTCCCCAGGTGAGCTCTGCAGACCCCCAGGTGAGCTCAGGACACCCCCAGGTGTGCCCAGGTGTGATCTGGACATGTCCAGGTGAGCTTTGTCCATCCCCAGTTGTGCCCTATATTCCCCCAGGTGTGCTCAGGTGTTCCCAGGTGAGCTCTGTATACCCCCAGGTGTGCTCAGGTGAGCTGTGTCCATCCCCCAGGTGAGCTCAGGTGTGCCCTGGACATGCCCAGGAGTTCCCAGGTGAGCTCTGCACACCCCTAGGTGTTCTCTGTCCATCCCCAGATGTGCTCAGGTGTTCCCTGGACACACCCAGGTGTGCTCTGCACAACCCCAAGTGTTCCCAGGTGTGCCCAGGTGAGCTCTGTCCATCCCCAGGTGTGCTCAGGTGTTCCCAGGTGAGCTCTGTCCATCCCCAGTTGTGCCCTGTCTTCCCCCCAGGTGTCCCCAGCACATCCCCAGGTGTTCCCAGGTGTGCTCAGAACATTGTCCAGTTGTGCCCTGCACATCCCCAGGTGTGCCCAGGTGTTCCCAGGTGTGCTCAGGTGAGCTCTGTCCATCCCCAGGTGTGCTCAGAACATTGTCCAGGTGTGCCCTGTATTCCCCCCAGGTGTGCTCAGGTGAGCTCTGTCCATCCCCAGGTGTGCCCAGGTGTGTTCTGGACATGCCCAGGTGAGCTCTGCACACCCCCAGGTGTTCCCAGGTGTCCCCCCAGGTGTTCCCAGGTGAGCCCCTCCCCTCCCCCAGCACTCACCGAGCCCCGCTACAAAACCAAAGCCTTTAATGGGATTTTTGGGGGGATTTTTTTGGGGGCGTTTTTGGCCTTTTT